TTCTGTGAGAACAGCACCATCTACAGGCCTGGCATATGTACTACAGAGTCTCCAGCACTTTCCAACGGCAATGTCCGTGGCTGTCTCCTCCTGATTGGTGGAGTTGGCCCAATAGCAGTAGCGCCACTTCTGTGACGTCATAGAAGTGTTCAAATCTGGATCAGTCTGTATCAGATCCGTTGCAGCCCCTTTTTAAGAGATTTGGGTATTGAGGAAAATAGATTTGTGTTTTCTGACACTTGGTGAGTTCCCTGGAACACCGGGGACACATATTCATGTATAAAAGATGTACAAAAGTGCATTTTGCATGATAGGTCCCCTTTAAATACAGGAATAATTAAAGGTAGGGTAGGTAAGAATGGAGAAACCAGCTCGAGTGCGCAAGAATTTGAAAATACACAACCGGAAAAAAATCTGCCCCTTCCTTCAGACTTCCTTACAGAGCCCCTCCTCCAACACACACGAACGCGCACATGACCAATGAGGGCACGAGATAAGTTTGTGCACAGATGGAAGGCTGACAGGCAGGTAGGCCATCCAGTTATCTGAACCGGGCCGAGGAAGATGATTGGTCGTGCTTTTTACAGCGCCACGGCTTCCACAGATGACATATTTTAATGTATTTATTGTCAAAGCATTTAATATATTCATTGCTATCGGGATGTTAAGAGCATTCCATGGAATATAACAACAAGTGTTTCTGAAGTGAATTACCTACCACACCTTTAAAGCAGGAGGGACTTTAGAGAGCTGATCCTCTCATGGTGTCTTCCTCCCCTCGGGTCAGAGAGCAATAGATTACAGTTTAAATGTGTTCCTAGTGTGATGCCTCATTTGCACAAAAGGTCAATGCTACCTTTCACCTAAATTCACTTTCTGCTCTCAATTCATCTAATCTATCCAACAGAAACACAAAGATGTTTCTTGTATTGTTGTTTTGCTATTTGCTTCTGTCATGATCTGCTGCAAGTCTTTTTTGTCCTACTACGTCCCCTGCATCATCGCTTATCATAGCTTCAAATATTAACCAATAACTAAAATAGTTAACTTGTATTTTTCTGTCAATCCACAAATCATTGCAGGTCTAATTTAAACATGTCATTTGACCTCTGTTTGGCACTGTTAACAGATTTCAGATATGAAATCCAGTAAAGGATCTGAAATAAAAGCCACTTTTGGAGGTTTCACTTAAACATTTCCTTCCCCTAACAAGTGTTCTGCTTTCAGGTGATTGAACAAGCAGCCCAACAGAGATCTCTGAATCAGTGGAAATGATCTGAAGATCGAAGACTTGTCTTGTACCGTTTGTAGGCGGAGTGGTCGTTCTTCACGCTGCACTTCATGTTCTTCAGCTCGTCGAGCACGGCGAACATGTTGATGAACTTCCCGAGCGTCAGCAGGTACGCCTCGGAGACAAAGTCCTTCCTGCGCTCCTGGTGGCAGAGGCGCCGCACCTCTCCGCAGAAACGATCGATGGCCGTGCGCTGGAACACAGAGGAAATAAAGGGTTAGTGTTTCTGTGACATAGAGAAGGAGATTATGTGCAGGTGAGTGTTGGGGAAACATTTCCCTAGGCCCACACCTTTGACCCAGTTTGCCTGCGACCTTGGGGCTGCTCTCAGTGTTTTGCCTGCCTGGTGGCGTCAGCCGATAGAGGTCATACTGCTTTATCTTGATATGCACAATGTTGATTCTTCTCTCAGAACCAGCTAAACACATGGGTCTGGGGTAGAGATCTTCAGAATTGGTTTGGCAACCGCTGAGTCAACTCTTGGCACGGCAAATGTTTTGTGAATTCTCCGGGCCGAAGCTCCAAATAAACCATCCGTGTTTTCCATTAAAAAGTATCTGCTCTCTGAGTCCTTTCTCCATTGCTTCAGAGGTTTCCATCACAGTGAGGGGGAGAGGGGGGGGGGTGTCAACTCACCTGGAAGTACATGAAGTTCATCAGCTTGGTGACCTCGGGCTCCAGCACCTCCACCGTCTTCTCGTAGATCTCCACCCTGTTCGGCTGCTCGTTGCATTTCACCTGAGACACGAGAAGAATCCATAAGAAATAAGTCAAACCTGGGGAAGCTTTTGCATGTCTCTCCATTCGCTCGCTGAGATCACCTGGAGCACACACGGTTAAAACAGTTCTGCACGGTTACATTAGAAATAAAAACATGCATTATTGGGTCATAACTGCCGACAGGGGAGACATGAGTCCATGAATGATGAGATATATTTATGATCTGATGATAATAAAGGGATGTTACCTGAGGGATGGCTCGAGAGCAGCTCCTCCAGGTGTACAGCATGATGGCGTACCCCTCCCCCTCCTCCAGCATCACGTTCTGTACAGTCACACACACACACACACACACACACACATTAGGATACTATATCAGCTAGTAATGTTTTAACCTGCAAGACTTATTTTTTTGTAAACTTTCTCCACTTTTTATCAAAGCTCATGTTTTTCACCTTTTCCACGCCCACCATAGACCCTTTTTTAGACGGAGATAGTAGGTATAACAGTATTTTCCACACAGATGGGATTTAAATCGTCTGAAAGCTGGGAATCTGAAGAATCATTTGAGATGCAGCCCAGCACTGTGTGTGAAGTTGTTCGAGTCATAAATCTGTAATCAACAGATTTTGTGTTTCGGAAATTAATTAATCTCATAAATATTTGGGTTAATACCATTTGTTAAACCAATTTGATTTGATTGAGATTTGATCAAAATGATCAGAAATTCCTCCAGAATGTAATTAAAGTGTGAAAAGTCAAAAGGATACGCTTGAACTTGGAGCATTATTTAGCATCCTTAGCTTTAGTACATACTCTGAAAGACCATAATGTTGGGAGTTAAAAATGTTGCATGTAATCCTTTTAATGTGTGCGGCGGACTGGCCATTGCGAATACCGGGAGTTTCCCCGGTGGGCCGGTGCTGTGCGAGGGCCAAAAAAAAAAATTAATTAATAAAAAAAATGTTATCTTTCATTTATTTTTTTTCTTTGCCTAAATCCTACCGGCCCACATTTGTAAGTGTTCCGGCCCCTCCCTGGAGGGGTGTGGCCCACACCCCACTGGGCTGGGCTGGGCCGTTTTGATAGGCTACCTATGTTCTATCTATCAGCAGGGTTGGGTTGTAACGGAATACATGTAACGGCGTTACGTAATCAGAATACAAAAATCAAGTAACTGTATTCAGCTCGTGTTACATTTGAAAAACGAGTAATCTGATTACAGTTACTTTCGTAAACCTGAAGTGAATACATGTTGGAATACTTATTGAAATTATTGGTGGAAAGATTTCCTCACAACATTTAATATTCATTACTAAAGGTACAGCCGAATCATCACAGCGCACAAAACCTAATACCGCCGCAGATGGACCAAAAAAGCGTTCTCTCAGTGAAACAATAACAATGAAACATGGAGGAACAAAAGTCTGCGTTTAAATCGCGCGTGTGTGTCTGTAGAGGTGTGTGTGGTTAAAACACATCAGCCTGCGGTCGCTCTTTAGCCTTACTAATGATTATTTCTGAAGGTTAACACCGTGAAGGCGGTGCGTGAAAGGCANTGGATATTATACAAAACGTGATCCGTGTCAACCACAGACCTTATTTCCAGCTATTTTCCAAAATCCTATGGAGAAATTGCATTGTGTTTTTGTCGAAGGAACCGGAAGGAGTTTACTTCCGGGTTTTAGGACGCGTCACTGTGGCACTCTATTCCAATATATGTAAACTGCTTTGAGTATAGAATACATTCTTACAACATATATCACATCGGTTAATACATACAATTAACACATGTAACAATATTACGGATGTAAAATGTATGTTCATACAAAGAAAAGATGGGGAAAAATAAGAAATAAAGGATTTTTTTTTCACCACAGAATGTATGTAAGTGGACAACGCAATATACACATTAAGACAAAATGACCCCAATGTATAAAAACCTTCAGACCAATTCATTTAGACTTGACTCGAGGGGATATACTGTATATACATTGGATTCCTTAAGGAGAAATAATTAAAGGGGACCTATCATGCAAAATGCAGTTTGTGATGTACATACATAAATATGTGTCCCCGGTGTTTCGGGGAACTCACGCAGCGCCAGAAAATAAAACCCTCTCTCTACCCAAATATTTTAAAAACAGGGGTACAATGAGCGGATACAGATTTGCTGCCGATATGACGTCAAATCGGCGGCGGACCCACAGAAAGTTGCTATCATATTTGAGCTCCATACTGTTTCAGAAATAATCCTTGATGTGGTTTAGAACAGGATGACGTTTTATCACAGCAGAATTTAACTTTATCTCCGGTAGAATTCTGATCAGGCATTAGCTCCGCCTCCTCTTTTTTTTTTTTTAAGCTAAGGACCCATAATCCGCGTTTCTCTAACAGGGCTGCAAAAGAGGGGTATGAGCAGTATGAGGCATGTCTACAATGGGTGATCTGTTTGATATTTTAAGCAAAAAACTTCACAGACATGTTTTGTATAGGTATGGCCCTACAATATATTTTTCCAATATAGCATAATAGGTCCACTTTAAGTTACATTTCACTCTCTTCCTCTAATGCTGTGGACCCTTGTAGTTTCAGTAATGAGAACCAAGTGGCGTTATAGAATATCCAATATCACAGCCGCTTATCTGCGTTTTTAAAGATGAGATTCATAAGAAATATCCACATGAGCCAGTTTTCTTTTGAATCCCTTAAGTCGCCCCTCCAGCCGTCTTATCTCACATGAAATTGATTTTCCAGGAACATGCCACAAATTCCACAGAAACGGGGAATTAAGTGATATCCATCTCATTTTTCTTCTTCATGCTAAATTGAAAGCGAGAGTCTGGGAGGTTTCTTCTTTCAGACAGACACTAATCTGTTTTAAAAAAGATTATTTCTAGTTGATTGACATGTGTATGTGTCAGATGGTTTCAGCTGCACAGAGGAAACAAAGTGGATGAATTTGACAAGGAAACATACTGTAAGCCGAGGAATGGGAAATGTAGGAAAGGAGAAGACATGAGGAAGAGGAGGATTACAATCTGATAGGGAACATTGTGAAGGTGAAGATAAACGGGGATAGTGGTTATGAAAGTTGTTTGATAAAACCTGTAATATCAAGTGAGAAGAAGAACGTTGAGGTTAAAAGGGGGAAAAAGGAGATTTCATCTGGCTTTTCCTTCTTCATTTTTCTTTGTCTTCTCTTTTTGGCCTCTGCTTCTTCTTCAGCTTCTTCTTGGCATCTTGTTCTCTATTTTCTTCATTTAAAACCCTTACAGGGTCTTCTTAGATTTGCTGTTTTCCTCCGGAGATATTTCAAAGCAGGGGTTAAACTTTGACCTGTTCGTGGTGCTAGAAATCAGTAGAGACCATTGTCTAGGAATTATGAATATCTGCAAAAAATGTCATGGCAATCCATCCAATTGTATATTTCGAAATTGCGCCAAAACCAATGGAAAAGCATGAAGAAGATTCAAACCAAGCCAGGTTCTTGGTGTGTGTATATATAGGAACATGTTGTGTCTATTCAGACGATGCAACTCTTTTTATGTGACGACACTCTAAAAACGAATTCAGGGGACCTTTCAGCTCCACTTAATTAAATGCATGGTTGCAAGTTAAAAATGTGAGTTAATTGATTTAGATAAACATTTTAAGTTGCAAACGTTAATTTATAAGTTGTGTTGACGTAATAATGTTGGTAATTACATCATATTACATCATATATTGTGTGTAATTTGAACTCTGATTTCTGCGTTAATTGACTTAAAACAAAATTCAAGTTGTAGTAAGTAATGCAATTGGCTTGATAACTTAATTTTTCTACACCTTGAGTTAATGATTTCAAGTCCACTCCCACTTAACACACCTGGACAAGTTCCGACATTCAAGGCTGTGTGTTCGAGGACAGGCTGAAGAAATACACAAAGGACATTTTAAAAGTGGGTGTCATCTTTTGTCATTTAAATACAGTAGATATTAGTTGTAGTTGCACGGTATGGGCAAATTGCTGTTTGTAAGCCATGGTCATGGTGGGCAACCTCTGCCATGTCTTTATCCAGATTGTTTTTGTTCCTTCAGAACATGGGGTAGTGAGGCACGGGTCACACCTGAAAGTAAAATGAGACAGTTGCTACACGTTAAGTCTGAGATTGTGTCGTGTTCCCGTCGCCGAACCGATGAAGAGACGCGTGAAAGTTAACATAACACGATAAATACTTTTCCCTTTTTTCGTCTTTAAGTGGTTTTGAATTATATAAAGACTTACCCACTGTACGTTTTTTATACGTAAAGTTACTTTGAGATTTATTGTTGTTTGGTAGGATGGCTAGTTCTTCGTACAGAACTAGACGGACTAAGGGTGGAGTTTGATATGCAGAGGGGAAGGCTGACTTTGAGTACGAGGTAGTCAAAACCAGCGTTGACCAATTCAAACGGGTATTCTTTTCTGACCAAGTTCCGAATGCCACCATTAAGTAGGGAACTTGAAGGAGTAAATAGACGTACCTGTCTTGTTTCTTATTTAGAATTTATAACCGCTGTTAGTGGATATACGGGTGAAGTGTAAATATGAGTGTTGTGGTAATCAATTTTTCTCGCTTTCTGAGGGATTTATGTCATGACTTGACTGTATGTCCAGTCCATTTTTTCGTTCAGTGACTTAATCGTAAGAAAAACTTGAGCAAAAAGGGTGAAGGTTCAGTGGAGGAGTGTATAACCAGTGCAAATCTTCATTTTTGGGACGATTTGCGTTCTCATTGTCAACAATTGTTCGCTAAAGTCCGAAAGTACTATGTCCCGCTGAGTTGATGAAATGAGCAGTACCAAAATTGATAGACGCAGTACAGAGTGATTGAAGTGTCGGCCTAAAATTATTGTCAAGACGTTCACTTGTTCGACGGACTATTTTTGTCCCCCTGTTCTGCCCTCTTTAGTTATTTAGGTGTTTTTACTTCAGTTAGAGGTGCCGATGGTTGTTAGTTATAGTGATGAAGATTTATGATTAATGAGTTCTGTGTAAAAATGTGACACAACGTCAGCTTTTATTCACGTCCGGTTGCGAAGGTACTTCAGGAACTAACGTCCCGAAGCTTTTCTAATTCACGACGGGATCTTATTCTCTCTTCAAGACCGGTAAGAGAGTGTGTGGTGGTGTACGGTTAATATGGGGCAAAAGGCATGTGAAGTGAATTCTCCAGGTGTAGACGAAAAGCAGGTTGAAGGTTGATGCCAAAAGTGGAAACTCCTACTCCACCATCCATTAATTGAAGTCGGAAAATCGGAAAAACGCTGTAAAAAATCGTCCCAGACCAGGAGACGACCTGT